CTAAAACCTATAGGACACTGTGAAGGCAGTCCTGAGAGGGAAGTTTATAGCAATGCAGGTCTACCTAAAACAGATAGAAACCTTTCAAATAAACAACCTAGCTCTACATCTTCAAGAACTGTAGAAACAACAACAAACAAAGCCTAGAGCAAGTAGAAAGAAGAAAAAAAAATCAAGATCAGAGCAGAATTGAATGACATAGAGACTAAAAGAACAATTAAAAGGATCAACAAATCCAGGAGCTGGTTCTTTGAAAAGGTAAACAAAATCTAACAAAATCGAAAAGCCTTTAGGCAGACTCAAAAAAAAAAAAAAAAAGAAAGAAAAAGAAAAAGGACTCAAATAAGTAATATTAGAAATGAAAGAGGAGAAATAACTGTTACCACAGAAATACAAAGGACTATAAGAAATTACTATGAACAATTATATGCCAAGAAATTTTAAAACCTGGGTGAAATGGACAAATTTCTAAAAAATATAACCTTCCAACGCTGAATGAAGAAGAAACAGAAAGCCTGAAAAGACCGATAACAGGTGGGGAAATTGAAGCAGTCATCAAAAAACCCTGGCACACAAAAGCCTGGGGCTGGACGGTTTCACAGGATAATTTTACAAAACATTTAAGGAAGAGCTAACCCCTGTCCTTTTCAGACTATTCCAAAAAATCCAAGAAGAGGGAAGACTCCCAAACTCTTTTTATGAGGCCAGCATCATCCTAATCCCCAAACCAGAGAAAGACACAACAAAGAAAGAAAACAACAGGCCAATATCACTGATGAACATGGACGCTAAAATCCTCAACAAAATATTGGTAAACCACATCCAGCAATAGATTAAAAAGATCATCCACCATGATCAAGTGGGATTCATCCCAGGTATGCAAGGATGGTTCAATATTTGCAAATCAATAACCATAATACATCACATAAACAAAAGGAAAGACAAAAAGCACATGATCATATCAATAGATGCAGAAAAAGCATTTATAAGGTATGACATCCATTTATGAAAAAAGCACTCAGCAAAGTGGGAGTAAAGGGGGCATACCTCAACATATTAAAGGACATATATGAAAAATCTACAGCCGACATCATACTCAACAGACAAAAACTAAAAGCTTTCCCACTAAGATCAGGAACAAGACAAGGTTGTCTGCTTTCACCACTTCTATTTGACATATTATTAGAAGTCCTAGGCACAGCAATCAGACAAGAAAAAGAAATAAAGGGCATCCACATTGGAAAGAAGGAAGTAAAACTGTCATTGTTTGCAGATGACATGATAGTATACATAGAAAACCATATAGACTCCACCAAAAAACTACTCAACCTAATAAGTGAATTTGGCAAAAACAGCAGGATACAAAGTGAGTATTCAGAAGTTGAAGGCATTTTGTACACCAACAATGAAATATCAGAATCAGAAATCAGGAAAAAAAATCCCATTTGCTATAGCAACAAGAAAAATAAAGTACCTAGGAATAAACTTAACCAAGGACATAAAAGACCTGTAACCAGAAAACAGCACAACACTGAAGAAAGATATTAAGGAAGACACAAATAAATGGAAGCATATACTGTGTTTATGGGTTGGAAGAATTAACATCATCAAAGTGTCTATACTACCCAAAGCAATTTATAGATTCAATATAATCCCTATTAAAATACCAATGACATATTTCACAGATATAGAACAAACATTTAAAAAATTTATATGGAACCATAAATGACCCAAAATAGCCAGAGCAATTTTGAGAAAGAAGAACAAAGTAGGAGGGATCACAATACCTGACATCAAACTATATTACAAGGCCACTGTAATCAAGATGGTCTGGTACTGGCATAAGAATAGACAGGTAGATCAATTGAACAGAATAGAGAGCCCAGAAATATACCCATGTTTCTACGATCAATTAATATTCGACAAAGGGGGAAGAAGCACAAAATGGAGTAAAAATAGCCCCTCAAAAAAATGGTGTTGGGAGAGCTGGACAGCTATATGCAAAAAAATGAAACTTGACCAGCAACTTACACCACACACAAAAATAAACTCAAGATGGATAAAAGATTTAAATATAAGTTGCGACACCATAAAAGTCCTAGAGGAGAACATAGGCAGGAAACTCTCAGATACTCTATGCAACAATATTTTCACCAATATGTCCCCTAGAGCAAGGGACATAAAGGAAAGAATAAACAAATGGGACTTTATCAAAATAAGAAGCTCTGCACGGCTAAAGAAATCATCAGCAAAATGAAAAGGGAACCAATCATATGAGAATATATATTTGCCAATCATACCTCAGACAAGGGTTTGATCTCCAAAATATATGAAGAACTCACATGACTCCACTCCAGGAAGATAAACAATCCAATTTAAAAATGGGCCAAGGACCTGAACAGACACTTCTCCAAAGAGGTCATACAATGGACCCAGAGACATGAAAGGATGGTCAGCATCACTAGCCATCAGAGAAATGCAGATTAAAACCACAATGAGATTCCACTTCACACGGGTCAGAATGGCCACCATAAACAAAATAATAAACAACAAGTGCTGGCGAGGTTGTGGAGAAAAGGGAACCCTATTGGTGCCCTGTTGGTTGGAATGCAGACTGGTGCAGTCATTGCGGAAAACGGTTTGGAATTTCATCAAAAAACTAAAAATGGTACTGCCTTTTGACCCAGTGATTCCACTGCTGGGATTATACCCTAAGAATCCCAAAATACAATTCAAAAGAACCTATGCACCCCAATGTTCACAGCAGCACAATTTTCAATAGCCAAGTACTGGAATCAACCTAACTACCCATCAGTAAATGAGTGGATCAAAAAACTATGGTACATTTACACAATGGAATACTATGCAGCAGAAAGAGCCAGCTACTACCCTTCACGACAGCATGGATGGAACTGGAAAGCATTATGCTAAGCAAAATAAGCCAGGGGGTGAAAGACAAATACCACATGATCTCACTTATAAATGGAAACTAATCAACAAAACAAACAAGCAAGCAAAATATAGCCAGCAACATTGAAAGAAAAAACAAACTGACAGTAATGAGCAGGGAGGAGAGAGGGGGGTAATGGTGAAAAGAAGGGGAAGGGTCAAGGAACATGTATGAAGGACACATGGACAAAGCCAAAGTGGGGAAGGACTGAGGATGGGAGGTGGGGGAGGGGTGAGGCAGAGAAAAGTGGTGGTGGGAAAATGGAGATGAATGTATTTAAAAAATAAAAAATTAAAATAAAATATTAAAAGACTAAAATTAAAAGGAGACACTGCTTTTATATTTCGAGAGAGAGAGAGAGAGAAAATTCACAAACAATAAAGGTTGTGTTAGGGTTATAAATAATTTTTCCTTCTATTTTCAAAAATTTCTCTAATTATAAATAGATGTTTCTCATTTAAAATTAGTTTAAATATTAGTAGCATTTGCATAAAATTTCTAAATTCTTAAAAATCACATATTGTTGGCAATCCATGCTTAAATGGTACATAATTTCTCTTTGATAATATACTGCTGTTGGCAGACACAGTCAATTTTTTAGGTAAGCAAATGTCAGATGTTGCTATAGCACTTCTAAAGTTATAATAAAGCTACATAATAATTGACAGGGTACTTTTGGGTAAATGTGGAGAAAAGTCAAAAATTGATTAAGCAAGGGAAAATGTCAATCTTTCCAGTCAGTGACAGGATTAGTGACAAGACCTCAATCCAATCTGAGATATTACTTCTTGGAAGGCACAGTGCTAGCAGGAAAGACATTAATAATTAGGATGAAATCTGGTAAATACTTGCACAGGCCACTGAACTGTATAGGGGAAGATCTGGGACTAGGAAGAGGTATTCTAGATAAAGTAGATCCAAGAGCAAATATTAAAAAAAAAAAAAAAGGTCAGGATATGTTCAGAGAGCAGAATAATTCAGTATCCTGACTAAAGGGCATCTATAACCTATAGGATGGGGATAAGCAAGTAATCAGAGGTTAGCAGAAGCTGAAGACCTTTGGTTTTATTTGGAATGCAGTGTAGAGAGACTTTGAAGATACGGCTATTGAAAATAGAGAATGACATAAGATCTATGTTGATTCTAGAGCACCCATGGAATGAACTGGGAGATAAGAGGAACACATAAATTGTAATAGACCAGGAAACTCATTACAAAAAACTATCTAAATTAACGCTTCCAGAATATATTTTACTTTAAAATGATTTAACCACATTCTAACATAGTTTTAGATGACTTTTGGTGTTCTCCATTAGAACTGGCACATAATATTGAATCAGATTGCAGAGGACTATTTTAGCTCTATGGCCAGATGCAGAGACATATGTAACGGTATTGAAGCCAACAAATATGCTGAAAAATGCAAATTCTCATGCATAAAAGGATTTAGCATTCTAGAAAGCAGCAAATTATCAATAGCTGTATCCAGATTCTTTGGAGTGGTGAGTTGCTTTAATTTAAAACTTCATATTAGCTCACCTGGAAGTAAAATTTTCTAAGCTTAAATTGCCTTAACCTTCTAGCAATTGGGATGTTGCTGAATAATAATCAAAACTATGAAAACGTTGTAATAGTGAACAGGAGATAAAATTTTTGTCTGTTTCCACTAACATAAAAGGGGATGTTTTAAACCAGAATATACCAAAATACATGTAGAATATGGATTCAGGCCTAATGACTTTCTGATTCATTAGAGGAGGTAGAGAGGATGCTGACATCACCTTGAGAACTGGCTCAAAATCCTAATAGGTTTGGCAGTCACTTGAATATTCAATAAAAACTCAGTAACCAAATACTCTCCATCACCAGGCTAGCAGATCTTTCATTTCCAAAGCACTCATTTTGGGTACCAAACTACTGACACGTGGGCACAGCACCCGGCTTTTATTTACAAACATTGAAAAATGAGCGCTCAGGTGTGAGCGCGTCCTCCCGGGGAAACCAGTCGGGTCCCAACCAGAGGGCGGGGCGGGGACAGAGGCCTGAGGTTCAGGGCACGCAGCCTCTTCCCTCCAGTCGTCCCCGGCGGCCCTCGCTCCCAGGCCCCGCAGTCTCATTTGCCGCCTTGCGACGCGTGACCCCGGCGCGCGCGCGTCCCGGGCCGGTGACAGGCGCGGGGTGCGCCGATCGGTCTCATGTACCCCCTCCTCCTCACTGCCGCTGCAGTCGCCGCGCCCCGAACCTCGCTCCGGCTCCTCGGCAGAGGGCTTGCCGCCATGTCTACCGCAGGGCCCCTCAAATCCGTGGACTACGAGGTGTTCGGGAGAGTGCAGGGTAGGGGACCCCTCACTGTGGGAGACCAAAGTTGTATTTGGGAGAAAGGAGACAAGACTGGAAAAGGGCCCTCCCATCTTAAAGATCTGCTTCCCCGGAGTGGCCGGGACTTCCGCTGGGCCATGACACAGCAGCCGCGAGTGGGAGGGAGGCGAAAAGCGCATGCGCTGGAGAGCTTGGACGGGCGTGGGGTTGGAGGCGGGGGGAGGCGGGGGGAGGCGGGGGGGGGGGAGAGCAGAGACCCGGGAGGGAGAAGGAAGAGGGCAGGGAGAAAGAGACCCCTGTGCACCTGGAGCGGTCTTACTAATGGGGGCAGGCGGACCGAGAGGGAAAAATGAAGTTTAGTAGGAAAAGGAGGGTTTTGAACTAGTCAATCTTGTTACTTACCAGTGAAAATACTGGGCTTGACCCGAGCTTCAGGAAAAACACCTGTATGAGGTTTGAGGGTTCACTCTGTTGGAGATTTTATGCACGCGCGCGCACACACACACACGCACGTATACACACGCATACATACGTGTGTGTATATATAAAATCTTAAACTAAATCTTAAAAGAATTCTTAAAATGTTATCTAATTATTGTTGCATCATTAATTTAAATAATTGCAAAGGATGTAATGTCTGGCTTATTGTAACTTACTATTTCTAAATTAAAATGTTAAATATCTGTGAAATTTATACAAGGGAATATAAATATGGTAGTGATTTAACACCATAATTTCATTTAAAATAAAGCTTTTTAACATTGGGAAATTTAACATCTTATATTTTCCTTTTGGAATTTGATATACAATTCATTTCCGCCACAGTTTGATCCCACTGTTATGTTTGAGGGTGTATCACTGATAACCTATCAAACTTTTCTGCAATATGTATGTACACACACACACACACATATGTAATATATTTTCTTGATTTCCGTTGTCCGTAAAGCTCTATTAATTTTTTTTCTGGCTTGAGTTATTGCAATTATTATTAGAACACAACTGATGAAAATAATATAAGTACTTTTAAAAGTGTAAATATTATTAAATTAAAAGGTCAATTTGTATTGGAAATTTATTTCATATGGAGAAATCTTCATTAAAGGAAGGGTTGAATTATCCTTTTATTTTGGTATTCCAGAGGTTTTTACACGTTGGGGCTATTTATTAGGGTAAGATTAAGGATGGGTGAGTGATGTCTTTTGTAAAGAGATGGACCTTTCTTTCAAGGAGTGATTATGAAAAGAGAGGTAGAGCAGGAGGACCAGTGCAGACCACAGGTGCCTTCTCAGACAGTTTTAGAAAAGAATGCATATGGAAATTGAGGATCTGGAAATCGATTCCCTTAAAACTATCCATGGTTTGGGCTCTGTAGAAAGTCTTTGGGTACATCCAGGGGTGTGGTACTCTAGATTGAAACTGCCACAGTAAGTCACTGAAACACATTACACATAATATATGAAAATGGTGGCAAAGATTGCCTGACACAATATTTGGTCTACTGGACAGAGATGGCAATAGTTAAAGGTTGTGTGTGTGTGACATTGACTGGGAGTGTTCCATGTGCCAAGCACCTTACTTTTATTTACTTAGTCCTTATCACAATTTTTCAACAATATATCTTATTCCTGTTTTAACAATGAAAAAACAGGTAGAGAGAGGTTCAGTAACTTGGGCAAGTCCTAAGCTGACAAATGGGATTTGATTCTGTATCTCTCTAATTCTGAAACTTGCACTTTTCCATCATTAATGTGAAACTTCCACATTCTGATGTTTTCTGTTAATACATAATATTTTATATTGATTTTAATTGTATAATTGCACTTGATGGTCACATGGTTTATGAAGATCAATTTTGGGCAACAGTACAAATGTAGGAAAGGTAAAAGTAATATACATAAACAGTGGTTTTTAAAAAATGAGCTTTAGGGCAATAAGTCCTGTAATTTGCAGTATGTTAAGTGGAAGAGAGTACATGCATGCTATTGATTTATCAAGGCATAGTATTATTGTCTGTGGAAATCAGGTTCTTCCACGGGGCCACAAGGAAAGCATCCCAAGGACCCATGGGAGATTGTGGTGTGGCAAGATGGTTTACTCCTGTGGAAATAGAAGCTGCCTCCTGGGTGTCCAATTTCCCATCTTCCTCTGTCCTGCCATTAAAAAAGTTCATCCAGTCTTTAGCAAGGTCAAAACAAAAGCCAGGATCCAGAGCCTTTGCTTCCTATGAAAGCTTCGTCATTTTGGAGCCCACATCATCTGCTGCAGGCCCCAGTAGCTGCTAGACCCACATGGATGCATGCTCCTGGGCAAGAGAGAATTAGAGAATGAATGGGTGAGAGAATGAATGGGTGAATGCGAGTCATGAGAGAGAGAGAGAGAGAAAGAGAGCGTGAGAGCGCGCATGTGAGCATGTTTCTTTGTTTCCCTGGGATTATATTAGCCTGAGTTTGGGGTGGACCAGGTGCTTTTTCAAAATAACCAATCAACCTCCCAAGTTTTCACGGGCCTGTGATAGGTTTACACCCCCTAGTTTAACTGACAGGCCTCTATGATACAGCACTTCCCCTTACACTCCTAACGGTCTGGTACTAGAGGGGGAAAGGGTGGAGTATTAGTATCCTTGGGGAGCAGTGCTATGATCCCCTGGGGTTGGAAGCTGTAGCTTCCTGGCTAAGCAAGCAGGTTCATGCTCCCAGTTTATTAAGCTCAATGTCTAATTTCCTTTTGCTTCCCCCTTTTTTTTTAATTAATAACTAGCTAACTACCTTTGGTAACAGTATGCGAGACAAATTCTTCATCACATATTTGTATACATATATACCAACATTTGCTGAGAATTTAGGATGTGCCAAGCTCTGTACTCCATATTTCACATGCATTGTCTCACACATATTTAATTCTCAACCCTGTAACCTCAACCATTTCCTCACTTAATAGATGGAGAAATTGAGCCATAGAGAATAACTTTCCCATGTTACACAGTGAGTTAAATGGCAGCGCTGGTATTTGAACCTTAGCAATCTGATACCAGAGCCCATGCTCTTGATCACTATATTGATTCTCCTCTCATCACTCTTTCTCCCTTTCCCCCTTTATTTTTGTTTTCCTCCAAACTTACCCACTGAATACATACATACACTGGTGCAGGACATTTGGACCCAGCCATTTGGACTATTTCTCAGATGACTGTGAGGGCAATTTTATGGTACTTTTGGTTCCAAGGAAGTTTGACCTGGTCAATAAACAGCACCCTCGAAAGCTACATACAGTCTCTGACTCTCTCTCTGTCACTGGCTCACGATGTCAGTCACTATGTCTGTATATCAATCTGTTATCTCCCAGTTTTCATGTCGATTGTCCTAGAAATAAATACAAACCATTAGTGTCTTAGCTGAGTCATAATGATTGTGCAGAATTAGTTTACACTAAATAACCAAAAATAAAAATTTTAATTTTAACACTGTAAGATAGATAATTAAGGGGAACATTATAAAACTAATTTTTAATTTAAAAGTATGGAATGATAAAATACTGAAAACTGGCCTGTTAAAATTAATGGCTAAGAAAGAAAATTTACAATGGAAGAAGCTAAAACTTGCCACATTTAATATGGTCAAAATATGAAGTGATAAATAAAATTACCATAAAAATATTTAAATGGAAAATACTCCCAATGAAAATGGTTTTAAATGGCATATACATGAACATGGAAATGATTTAACCCTCTTGTCCTAGAAAACTGATCAATAAATTAAATTGGTTTCATGAAATTTATGACAAAAGTTTTCCCAACCAAAACAAAAGGGTGCTGTTATAGTTCCATTTAGAATGTTTGAATTTAAAACATCATTGGTGACAACATGACAGTCAATATGTTCTAGGTGTCAGATGTACCATGCATTGTTCTGTAATGCACACATGCTAATTTATAAACAAATTGTATTCCAAGAGTTAGTTTATAGCTTGGTTGGTTGAAATTCAGGAAAATACATTTATGGAAATCATATTACAAAGAGTGGATTCATTTCTCAGGTCCATCAGCAGAATCTACACCTAGAGCTTTTGGATGCTGCTGCTTTCTGTTGCTGCTTCTCTTTCTCTACTTTGTTTTTAAAGAATTTTTTTTGTTTGTTTTAGAATAGTTTTAGATTTATTAGAAAAGATGGAAAGAGTTCCTGTATACAACATCCAGTTTCCCCAATTGTTAACATCTTATATTAATATGACAAATTTGTCACAAATGGTGAGCCAATATTGATACTTTATTATTAACTAAAGTCTATACTTCTTTTCAGATTTCCTTGGATATCACATTACAGTTAGTCAACTTGTCCCCTTAGTTTCCTTTAGGCTCTGACAGATTCTCAGACTTGCCTTGTTTTCTATCACCTGTTACAGTCTTGAGAAGTACTCTGAGGTTAGGACCTTTGTAGAATACTCCCGAACTGAGATTTGTCTGATATTTTTGTCATGCTAAGACTAGGGTTATGGGTTATTGGGAGGAAGACGACAGAGATAAGGTGCCCCTTTCATCACAGCATATCAAAAGGACACATACTGTCAATATGACTTACCACTCTTGATATTGACCTTGATCACTGGCTGAGATCAAGTTTGTCAGCTTTATTTTATGAAGTTACTCTTTTTCCCCCTCCTTCTCCATCCTCTACTTTTTAATCTCCATATTCTTAAGAAGCTCTGATTTTTTTCCTACCAACTTCTGTTGCATTGGGGCTTCGAGGTGAGGGTCAGGGGACTGACCACCTGTGTTTTTAAGAAGCATTTGCAACTATGACATGATTTATAATGTTTCACTACAGTTCCATCTAGGATAATCGGAAAGTTTGAAAGGGAAGTTGATTAAGCTGTGTATGAATTCTTTGATGTTTTACCAGCTCTCGGGAGAATACTAATGACACCTGTGGAAATAGATTGTGGCAATCGGTTGGTTTACCTCTGCTTTAGAAATTCAAGTTTGTTTTACTGACAGTATTAACTTAGTTTTAGAATAGGAGTACCTTCTAATTCCTTTTCTCATTTTTGTTCCTATAGCATTTCACTTATAGTTCTGTTCTATTTCTTGTTTTTACTTCCCTTTAATCTATTTTCCTTTACACTGCAATTATTTATGTACTGATATCTGCATCTCTCATTAGACAGTAAGGATAGTGTTTTGAAGATCGAGCTGGTGGAAAAAAATTCCAATTGTGGTATTATCCTTTCTTTGTAGCTTTACTATTTTTCTTCATATTCATTTGGTACCATAATACCCTATCATCAGGAAACAAATAATATCTCATTATTATAAATCCACTTACGAAAGTACGTAAAATTACCTAACCCTCTGATTCCTTTTTCTGTATTTTCTTAACCAGGCACTATTGCTTTATACCGGAGCAATATCTTCTGGCTGATTTAACCCCTGTGATTTCCTGATTTTTTTCTTCTAATTAATTTTTCAAATGAAGTACAATTTAAATTCAGTAACATTCACCCTTTTTAGTTCAAGGAGTTTTGCAACGTGTATATGCTTGTGTAATCATCACCACAGTTGAAATACAGAATAGTGTCACCATCCCCCCAAATTCCCTGGTACCCTTTGTAGCTCTCCCCCCTCCCAGCCCTTGGCAGCCACTGATTAGTTTCTTGTACCTGTAGTTTTGCCTTTTCCAGAATGTGGAATTAAAATGAAAACAGGAGTGTTTTATTACATTTAAAGATGGATTTAGTTCTTGTATTTAAAGAAGAGGTTCTAAAATTTATGGTTAGGTAAATTTTATGTCAAGTATACTCAACTGTCCTTGTAATAAACATTTTATTTTATTTAGCATTTTAAAACAAAACAGCAATTTTCAACCTTTATCATCTCATGGCACATACAAACTGACTACTAAATTCTGCGGCATGCCAAAAAATTTTTTTGACAATATGACAAAAAATAGTTATAATTTTGACTACTAAACAAACTGTGTTGTTTTCTATTGTTTTAAAAAAATATTTTATTGATTATGCCATTACAGTTGTCCCAATATTCCCCACCCCAGCCAGCACCCCCCCGCAGACTCAGGCAATTCCACACCATTGTCCTTTTCCATGGCTCATGCATGCAAGTTCTTCGGCTACTCTATTTCCTATACGGTACTTTACATCCCCATGGGCATTCTGTAACTACCTATTTGTAGTTCTTAATCCCCTCACCTCTTTACCCATTCCCCCACACTCCCCTCCTATCTGGCATCCATCAAAACACTCTCTGTATCCATGATTCTGTCTCTGTTCTTGTTTGCTTAGTTTGCTTTTTAGTCAATTGTTGATAGAGAAGTATTTATTGCCATTTTATTGTTCATAGTTTCGATCTTCTTTTTCTTATATAAGTCCCTTTAACGTTTCATATAATAAATGTGAACTCCTTTAGTTTTTTCTTGTCTGGGAAGCTCTTTATCTGCCCTTAGATTCTAAGTGATATCTTTGCTGGGTAGAGCAAGCTTGTCTGTAGGTACCTGCTTTTCATGACTTTGAATACGTCTTGCAAATCCCTTCTAGTCTACAAAGTTCCTTTCAAGGAATCAGCTGACAGTCTTATGGGGACTCCCCGGTAGGTAACTAACTGCTTTTCTCTTGATGTCTTTAAGATTCTCTCTTTACCTTTAACCTGTGGCATATTAATTATGCTGTGTCTTGGAGTGGACCTCTTTGCTTGCATCTTGTTTAGGACTCTCTGTGCTTCCTGGACTTGCATGTTTATTTCCTTCACCAAATTAGGGAAGTTTTCTTTCATTATTTTTTCAAATAGATTTCCAATTCCTTGCTCTTTCTCTTTTCCTTCTAGCACCCCTGTGATGTGAATGTTTGGAACTTTTGAAATTGTCCCAGAGGCTGCTTACACTATCCTCATATATTTGGATTCTTTTTTCTTCTTGTTGCTCTGATTGGTTGTTTTTTGCTTCCTTATATTCCAAATCATTGATTTGATTCTTGGCTTTATCCACGCTACTGTTGTTTCCCTGTAAATGGTTCTTTATTTTAATTAGCGTATACTTAATTTCTGACTGGATCTTTTTTATGCTGTAGAGGCCCTCACTAAGTTTCTTGAGCATCCTCATAAATAGTATTCTGAACTCTGCATCTGATAGATTGCTTATCTTTATTTAGCATTTTTTCTGGTAGAGCTACTTTGACTCCATGTTTTGGTAGTGTGGCCTAATGTAGTAGGTGTCCTCTGGAGTCCAGTGGCACAGCCTCCCCTATCACCCAACCTGGGTTCTCTAGGTGCACCCTCGTGTGGGCTGAGTACACCCTCTTCTTGTAGTTGAGTTTTGGTTGCTGTTGGCACATCAGTGGGATGGATTTACCAGGCCTGTCAGCTGCAAGGACTGGCTGTGACCACTGACCACCAACCTCTGCCCTCTGTGGAGGATCAGCTCTTCAGAGTCAGGGTCGTCGTGCTCTGACATGGTCTGCAGCTGTCCACTGGGTGTGCAGGCTCTTGGGTTTCCTGGGTGGTGCAGGCCAAGGTCCGCCCCTACCTGTGTTCTGCCTGGGGTTACCCTGTATGAGCTATAAAGCTGTCTGAGATGGCTGCTACTTGTACTGGGTTTGGAAATACCCAGGGGAAGACAACCTGGGAATCTAGGCTGGTTGCTGCTAGTGCCAGGCCTGGGGCCACTTAGCAAGAGGTATAGGGGCTGGAGGCTTAGTGAGGCCAGCTGCGGCTTGTTTGATAGGATTTTGGAAGTCGTGAAGCGTGAGCCAATACCAGCCATTCATATGGAAAAGTCACGGTTAACAGTTTGGGTGGGCCCATAATTTGGGTGGGATGGAGTCTCAGGGGACCTCCAGGGGAGGGCAACAGTGTTAGCCAGGTTGATGAAGTCACAGATATGGCACCTACCTGCTGGTTCTATGATTCTGTGGGGGAAGGGCTCAGAAAAAGGACAATGGCCTTTCTGTCTGGGGGAAACCTGTCCCCAGCTCCCACCTTGATGCCAGATGCTTCAGTTCCTTCTTGTATGCCACTGGTGCATTTCAAGCTGCTACCCTGTTGCTGGAGCTCAGAGGGAGTGAGTACATAAGGCTCTGTGTGGATTCTTTAAGGGAAACTGCTTGGGACTCCAGGAGTTTCTCCCTCCCACTCATTCCCCAGTGGTTTTTGCAGCTAGAAGTTATGAGGACTTATCTTCCTGCAACTGGTACCCTGGGCAGGGGGCCTCTCTGGGGCTGGGACTTCTCACTCCTGAGACATCGCTCTTGAATTTTTATCCACCATGTGTGTGTATGGGACCTGCCCATTCTACATCTCTGTCCCTCCTACCAGTCTGGATGGATGTGGTTTGTTTAATTCTGTAGTTGTCAGACTTTCATTCAATTTAATTTCTGATGGTTCTGAATGATGGTTGTTCTATATTTTCATTGTAATTTTAAAGAATCTTCTAATTTTTGGATGCTTTATTACATTACTTATTTACTCCATCTAGAATTTGTTTTTTATTTTATAATATCAGATTGAGGACTGACTATATTCTACCAGATGGATAGCCAGTTGTGCCAACACTGTTTATTAAATAATCATTGTTTCTTCCATTGAATTGAAATATATTTTTGTCATATATTAAAATCTCATATTAACTAGATTTTATTTCTGGATTTTCTGTTCTACTGATTGATCTACTTAAATATTCTTAGACTACTGTATTTTGCCATGTGTAATGCACATTCTCTTGCCCAAGTTTTTGAGGGAAAAATAATGATGTGCATTATACATGGATAGTGCTAATTCTGTTTTTATATAAATGTTCTTAATTCTTTTATTTATGCTTATGCGTTGAAAGCGTAACTCAAGAAAGCAATAATATCTGTATGCAAAATAATACTCTGGACTATGATAATTGAGTTTGTTTCTAAATATAAATAAATAAATAATTGAATTAAAAAATTAAAATGAAAGTTTTCTTTTTCCTACAAGTGTGGGCCAGAAATGTGGGTACGCATTATACATGAGAGCTCATTACACATGGCAAAATACAGTAATACTCCTTATTGACTTAGTTAAAGTGGCTTTCTAGTATACTTCCCTTCACAATCTAAGGAAAAAGAGGCCAGTGCCCCTGACTAGATAGGTATTGTATGCTTTAAAAATTCTTGCAGCACACCAGTTGAAAATCACTGCAATAGAATAAATACACAGTTTGGCATTTTATTATTCTTTGATAAAATATTCAAATAAAATAAAATATTCAGATTACAAATTTTCTGCAAAAGTAATTTTCTCTTTTTATTTTAAAATAATTTTAAAAGCATTGTTTTAATATATTCAGATATTAAAACTTTTGTTCATTTCATTTACTTACTATTTAGTACAACAGGTGAAAGTTAAGTTAGGAAATATAAGATGTTTTTACAAGTAGACAAGCTGACTTTTTTTCATTTTTCTTTTATACAGGTGTGTGCTTCAGAATGGTAAGTCAATATAATGTTATTATTTTTTGCCATTTTTCTCCCACAGTCATTTCTAATCACAAAGATAGAGCAGTTTTCTGCTTATGCTAGTCTACTGCCTATTTCCCGTCCTTGACAGCAAATAAAAGCATATTTGTACTTCTTCAAATACAAATTAGGGGTTGAGATTTTCATTAGGGCTCTCTTCACAAAGTAGTCCGTTAAAAACATTACAGCCTTCCTAGCCTATAGCTAATGTTGTCTATGAATTTCAAAATACCTCTCTTGTGGTGATCAAATTGAACACTTAGATTAGGTATATTAAATACAAAATATGGGATCTTCTACTTGATCTGGATAGAAGAAATCCTCTCTGTGAGGGTATGCGTCTCAAATTGCATAACAAAAAGTGCTCATGTTGCATAAGGTAATGGTTCCCAGGGTTTTAGAAGTTAAAACTCCTTGTGGCCTTTAAAGTTTTTATTTTGTTAACGTAATTCCTTTCCTAGAAGTTAAATGTGGCTTATATTTTCACCTGCTGTCTGAGCTGTCAGTCACTAGCTTAGGTCTCTGTTCCCAACCTCTGAGTGTCCTAACATGTTCCCACCTATAAAGTCTCCACATTTTGAGATAGTTGCACCCTGTACAGATTGTCCCCTTTTCCACTATTACCTAGAGCTTGACTTGTTTTCAGAACCAGTTTATACCTCAGCCCTAGCTGTAACCGTCCTAGCTGTGTAACCATCTCAGTTTGTGTTGCTTCATATTGTTTGGAACGTGGAGAGTAGAGATCTTGGTCCCGCTGGCTTCCAAACAGAAGAGCATGTTTTTAAAAAGTTCTAGTTGACCGGGTCCACAAGAATTTTAGTATGATGTAGTTAAATAACTCAAAAGTAAACTGTTGCTAGGTTTTTATTTGCCAATAGTATGACTGAATTTGGAACCAGGAAAAGAAATTTAAAAAGAAAAACTATTAAGAATAACAGGAGGAATAAATTTACCCATAGAGAATTATAGCATTTGTGTGGCAAATCCAGAGCCAACAGAAAACAAGAGACTATTTTAATCCAGTACTTTCTGTTGATCATAACTGGATATTTTTCCTCAGTGATTGAGAATTTCAGAGTGACTATCATTTGGAACCCAGTAACAATGTAATGCAGTATTAGCTGATGTGAGGGCAATGCAACTGAATTTTATGGATCCCAAAACACATCATGGAAATTGTTTTTTGAAGTAATTTCCACTATCACTTTATTTTCTCATAGCATGCTTGCCTTTACTGAAAGTGGAATTTAATAAAACGTTCCATTTAAGTGAAGGTTCTTGTAAATAGAGGTATTACTGAGGTCAGCTACGTGATTTTTTGGCATAGACTGCATTGTAGGAAAAAAGTGATCAGCTTAGTACTTTTTGAATATTATAATCAAGTATGTTATAAATTCAGACTTTTGATGATGGACTTACCCTGTTTTTCCCTCCTGAAACCAGTACACAGAAGGTGAGGCTAAGAAAATAGGAGTGGTTGGCTGGGTGAAGAATACCAGCAAAGGCACTGTGACAGGCCAAGTGCAAGGCCCTGAAGAGAAAGTCAATTCCATGTAAGTAGCAAGACTAATAACACACTCCTGCAAGTTATGAACTTATTTTAATATTTCGTTGGGTAAAAGGAATAGTATTGATGTACCAAATTCAGCTTGTAGATTATAACTGAACTAACATGCTTTTAGGCAGACCAGCAAAGAAATTCTCAGAATTGGGAATGGAATTTCTGCATTTAGGAATGGATTCCCCACGTGGTCAGGCCCTCAGAAAGATAAATGGCATCACTCTCCGATCTCTATGAATTGTATTTGAATTCCCCTCTAACATGAGGGAAATACCCAGGGTCCACATAGTTCTCATCTGAAGTGGTTGTGACAGAGCATATATCTTAGGGTGGTTCTTGAACTTCTTAAAGTAGCCTTCAGTGCAAAAAAAGAGTTTCATCTCCTTTTTCTTGTTCAAATGCCTTATTTTAACTAATTGTAATTTTATTTTTACTGTCAGTGAAAGTGTGTTTAATGAGCTGTATGGTTTCCATAATATGAGTCCTTCCACACCAAAGGACACTGAATTCAGAAATACAGAAAAAAGTGTCCTGTTATTTTCAAAGGCCTTATATTTTCAGATTTGTAAATTGCACTGCTGTCTGTAGTCTTTTAAAAAAAATAGCTAATATTTATTGAGCATAAGCAACATGTTAACAATATGCTAAACACTTTACATCACGTAGATTGTTTCATGTAATCTTTACAACCATCTTATGAGGTAGGTACTAATTAATAACCAATTTATTTTATTGTATTGTTTGTAATTTATCTTTATTTTCACTACTTAATGTTTTAGATTTTAAAAGCAGTAGTTTTTTGTCTGTTGTAATATGTGAAGTAATAAGATGCAGAGGGATATAAAAGCAAAGCTAGGAATCTACCCCTTCCCCCTTACTCCCCTCCCTTTATGTAACGCGTGCTAACTTTCTGAAGCTTTCTGTTTCATTTAAATGCACTTAAGCATACCTTTATAATTAGGGTTTTGCTTGTTTTTACTGAAATAGAATACTTTATACTTTATGCATATTTTTCTGTAACTAGTTTTGTAATTTGATGGACAGTCAACAATCAGTCAATACAATATTATTAAGTCCTTATTTTTTCTAATTTCTTTATGTGTGGGTACTTACTAGTGCTTGTGTGTAAAACTGCACCCCAACTTGAAAAGTGGGTCCAAAAATTCAATTTTATAAAATGTTAATGGAAAACACTATTTTTGGTAGGATTGTTACAACATGCAAAAAGAAAAAAAATAGTGCCGCTTACTGATGTTCAGAACCGATAGTTCAATGCATAAGGAAATGCCAAATGACTGGGAGGGAGATTGAGGACGGAGACTGTGTGGAGGAGGGAGGGACACTCATGCCAATCATGTTCTATGCTAATCCATATTGTAGCAGGTTTTTGATGAACATAAGTGTAATCATATCATACATTCTGCCCATTTTTTCTCTCCAACCCCTGCACATCCCTGTCCCCACCACACCACCAGGAGCCTGTGTTAGCCGCCTCCTGCATTTCCTTCTGTATTTGTCTCCATGTTCACCTTTCATGCGCGCGTGAACACACACACACACACCCCGGGGACACATACGGTTTTAGGTTGTGACCAATATTTGCTTTTTTAAAATGGGATTGTGGTTTATGCACTTTCCTGCACCTCATTGTTATCATTCAAAAATATATCCATAAACATTCTTCCAAGTCAAGTTGTATAGCTCTAATTTATCCTTTTTAATGGCTGTTTTATATTCCACAGTATAGATATACCATTATTTATTACCTTGTTGTAGGAACTCATTTTGTTTCCTGGTGTTTTGGTGTTTTGCACTAACAGCAATGCCATTATAGACATTTTATTGGTGATTTATTTTTATGGGATAGATTCCCAGGAGTGTGATTCATTGGTTGAAGTGTCTGTGAGCTATTAACTTAGAAATATTTGTCAGCTTTCAAAACAGTTGTGAACACATTACATTTTTTTCTCTTTATCCTGTCAGCCATTTGTATTATTGCTCTCTAATTTTACTTTTATCTGATTGGGGGGTAGAATGATATATGATTTTTTTAACTATTAATTTGCATTTTTAATTTTTGTAAACTCGAATATTGTTCTCTTTTCTTTCTGGTTAATAAACAGACTGTAAGTGTTTCCTACTATTAGATACTTTATTTATTATATTACTTATTTACTCCATCTGGAATTTGTTTTTTATTTTATAGCATGAGATTGGGAAGGGACTATATTCTACCAGATGGCTAGCCAGTTGTTCCAGCACTGTTTATTAAATAATCACTATTTTCCATTGAACTGAAATACATTTTTGTCATATTAAAATCTCATATAAACTGGATTTTACTTCTGGATTCTCTGTTCTACTGATTGATCTACTTGTATGTTCCTAGACTACTACTCCATATTGATCTAATTAAAGTGGCTTTCTAACATATTTCCTTTCTTTTTCATTCGTTTATTTGTTTTACTGGGTATTAACTTTCTCTCTAAACTTTAGGATACTTTAATCCATTTAATTGGAATTATATTTGTTTTTTTAAATCTTATATAATTGTCTTAAAATATGCTTTTTAAAATAAAGCTTATTTTTAGACGTTTAGATTTATAGAAAAATTGTGAAGATAGTACAAAGAGTTTCCATATACTCTTCACACAGTTTCCCCTATTAACATTTTACATTAGTGTGATACATATGTTACAGTTAATGAACTCATATTGATGCATTAGTATTAACTAAAATCCATAGTTCATTCAGATTTCCTCAGCTTTTCTTTAATGTTCCTTTTCTCTTTTAGGAACTCATTTTACTTGCTTTTTAATTCTACATTTTTATAATAGTAAGATACTTGATATTAAATCCTCCTAAGAATACAGATGTCTTTTCATTGGTTCAGATTTTTAAATTTACCTTTCAGTATGATTTTATAGTTGTCATTACATGCTTTTCTTGCTGAGTGTATTCTAAGTATTTGTGTTAGTCAGTGTGGGCTGCGAACAGTAGTCTTAGTCAGTTTGGTTTGTAAACAATAGAAATTTATAACAACAGAAGTCGGAGGCCAAGGTGCCAGCCTGGTCAGGTTCTGGGAAGAGCCCTCTGCTGGACTGCAAACTGCCAACTTTTCCTTGTATCCTCACTTGGCAGAAGGAGAGTGGGCTGTCTCTCTGGCCTCTTCTCATAAGGACACTAATCCCATTCATGACAGTCCACTTTTATAACCTAATTACCTCCCAGAGACCCCGCTCTCAAATACCATATTGGTGATTAGATAGCAACATAAGAATTTTGGGGACCATGCAAACATTCAGTCCATCACATTATTTTATTGCCTTTTTTCACTATTGTGTATGGAATACTTTTCCCATTTCTGTTTCTGCATACTTATGCTAGAATAGGGAAAGCGTAATGACTTTTCTATATTTATATTATATCATAGAGTACCTTATCAAATATTCTTATTAATTCTACTAGGATTTTTTCTATGTAAACTATAGACTATTAGATTTTTATGTATACAATTATATAATTAGCAAAAATACTGTATCCTTTTTTCAGTGTTTATTTCATTAGCTAAACTTAACAAGGCAATGTATAGTAGTAATAGCAATAGTGGGAATCCTTTTTTGGTTTCTGGTTTGATTTGAAGTGATTTTACTATTTCACAAGTAGAATGATGTTTGCTATTGATTTTGGTAAGTATGCTTCATCAATTGAATTTCACTCTTGCACTCTTGAATTAAGCTGTGACTGGTCACAGTGTGTTAGTCTTTTGAATCATTGCCAATCTTTTATTTAGACCTTTTACATCTATATTTATTATATGGTTTCCTTCTTTGGGAGGGTACTATATTAAGTTTTGGTGTTAAAGTCTTTCTGCCTTTATAAAACATATTAAGGAAGTTTGCCATCATTTCCTTCATTTGGGAATAATTTAAATAATATTGGAATTACTGGGTTTTTTTAGTTGAGTTTGTTGGGCTGACGTTGGTTAACAAAAACACACAGGTTTCAAACAAGACATCATCTGTATACTGCATCATGCATCCATCACCCCAAGTAAAGTTTTCTGTCCCCATTTGTCACCTCTGTGCCCTCTTCCATTCCCCCCACCCCCTTCTCCTCTGGCTATCACCACACTGTTGTCTGTGTCTCCCCATTTTGTCTGCCTTTTTGTGTTTGACCCTGTGTACTAGGTAGATCTGCTATGACTCCCAAGCTTTTTATGAGGGCTCTCTGGTTAGGATGCCTTGTAGTTTTCAGTGGCTCAGTCTTCTAGATCACTTGAGCTAGGTGCTCCAGAAATGTTTCTTGTGTGGGTTATGTGCCCCGTCTTGTTGCAGTTGAGTCTTGAATGCTGTTGTCCCATTCGTGGGTGGAGTTAACCCTTAGACTGTCTGACTATAAGGATAGACCTTGTTTGCTGTGTATGAGTTGCTGCTCAGGAGCTGACCCCTCCCCAGACAGAGTTTTTTCCAGCAGGTTCTGGTACCTGCTGGAGTTCTTCTTTGGCTGGGCCATTTGTGTGACTCGTTGGGTTGAGCTCTGGTGAGGTGAGAAGCCCACCACTGGTTGTGTTGGTTCTGGGACCACGTGGATGGGGTTCTGGTACAGATCAGTGTCAGATGCTATGTGCAGCCAGCCTTAGCTACCTGTCTGGGGCTACCATGCTATTCGCTGATTGTGGCCATGTCTACTGGTCCTGAGTGTGTGCGAGAGGGGCCAAGCTGTGTTCAAGGGCCACCTTCCTGCAGTTCTGAGCTGGGGGCAGATAAATAAAAAGTCCATTGCTCTCTGAAGTCGTTGTTCACCTGTTAATGACTCTACCAACCCCTGGGGTTGCCTGAACTTCCTCCAGAGCCTTTTGAAGAAAGACTGTAGAGTGGGCCTAAGCAGGCTGCATCTACTTCCCCTTCCACACAGCACAAACTTGGTAGGGTGGCCCAGCCGGGTCAGGAAGACGGGGCTAGTGGTCCCCTACTTGGAGGCAGCACAGTT